CCCAGAGATGTTCAGAAGGGTTTGAGGTCAGTCACTGTGGAGGAAGGCAGCGCTGCTTCTCGGGTCTTCAAGCAGTTGTTCCAAAGCTTTGAGGTGTGTTTGGGCTCATTATCCTGCTGCAGAATGAATCTTAATGCACAAAGAAGCAAACGAGAGATTGAAGCGTGTCTCTGAGGATGGAGTGCAAGCAAAACTTCCCCGTACTTGAATATTCCCAGCAGCAGGAGTTTTCTGTTGTGTCATCCTCTCCCCTGTTGGTCTCCCTCACACACAGCCTTCTGTCACTGCCACTAATCTCTAACTCGGATTCATCAACTTTTCCCATCATCCACTGCTGAAATGCTGCTCTGTCTTAACCCACCCCAAGACCTGCTTGACCTTCTTCCCCTCCTGAGAAGTGGTTTAGAGACACTACTCGTCCTCTGAGACTCGACTGGTCAGCCCTCTTTCAGGAATCGTCTTTTTGTTTGTTGAGCAAATTCTCTGGCTGTGTTGAAGTTGCTTTTCTGTCTCTCTCTGATCATGCTATAGTGCCTCGCCCTGCCTCCTAAGAAACCTTCAGTCCAGTTGTGATTTGACACTGGGGAAGACCCTTTTTGCCTTCTGACCCTTTTTATTCAGTTCTGATGCCAATGTTCTCACTGTCACGGTGCAACAGGTAGAATGGCTGCAATCTGATGCACAGTCGTGACTCGATAATCCGACATTAAATGTAATATTTTATTTTATGTCGGATTGTCAAGACGGAGGTCGAGATACAAGGAGGGCTTGATGCTTGAAGGCTCAGTTGTTGTTAATTATTGTTCATAGTTATAATAACTAATAGGGCCGGTCCAAATAGCACTTTCTGGTATCTGGATATTCAGGCCCAATTAATGATGAATATCAGAATATTCGGCACAGTCAGGGGGATACTTCCACCCCGGGGGAGCGCTCCGACAGGGTGGAAGTGGCCAGAACGCACAGGCAGTACTTGGCTGCTGATGCTAGTTGAGGATAGCGGTCACATTTCTGTTTTCACCATCGGTGGCAGCGGCAGTGGCAGCAGCACCACACTGAGCACGCTCACTGCCTGTGAGCGTGGTTACTGGCTCCTGCATCGTGTCCTCTTCTGTGCATGCGGGACACTTTTGGGTCGTATGAAGTTCACACAGCAGATCAAATACAAGTCGCATTTAATAGGAAATGTGAACGAACTCGCGAAAAAATCGGATTTCACAAAAAAATCCAAATTGAGCATTAAGTCCTGCAGTGTGAATGTAGCCAATCTGTCGGATTGTGAAGTCAGATAATACGCCGTTATCCTTATTTGTGACATAAAATGTCATTTCAGAGTCGGAATCCAAGGCTGTCAGCATGTTAAGGCTATTTTTCATGGGTTCTGTTCATTTTTCCTAAAAACCTGTCAGATACCAAAGTTGTCGGATTGTTAAGGGTCGGATTATCAAGTCACGACTGTACTTGCGAAAGCCCCTGATGAGTCGATTAAATCTAAATACTGCTTAAGGATGCGACTCAAGGAAATCTAATCTCCTGTACGAAGGAGTTAATGCAATCAATGCCCCTAATTTAAATCAGTTTGTTTTTTAAAATATGTCTTTACATGTAAGCCCTCCATGTGTTTTCAATTCTTCAAGCTTTCTTCTTATTGCCTGGTTTGAACGATAGTATGACACATTTTCGATGTATTGTTAGACTCTCGAATCCCATATAGAATACATATTGCAGGAAAGCAGTAGAGATGGCACAGAAATGACTTTGGATCTCTGAAAAATACTGAGTAATATAAGTTTAAGGTCAACATTTTAATTGGGATCCTGGTAGAAATCAGAAATGAGCAGCAGCCTCCTCTGATCGTCTGCCAAAGTAAATTACAAAGTAACCAAATGTTCATTAGATTCAGGTTCATTAGAGGAAATCTGGAAATGTGACAGCTTCAACTTCAGTCGCCAGACATGACGGCAGTTTGTCATTAATCATGGAATCATAACGAGAAAACTTAACATCGTTTAGTTCACGTAATGGCACATTTAAAATTAATGTAATGTTTTTTGTTTTTTTATCATCCCACGATGTTTTATCACAGTGAAACTACAGACCCAAGTATAATCCTGAAAACCTCAGTGTATGTGTCTGTGTCTCAGCATCCACCTGCTCTCTCATTATTAAAGTCAACACAGAGCTACATATCTGCTTTGCAGCGGTTTGTAGCTGAGAACTCAGGAGCAAAGGTCATTTTTATTCTGCCTGCAGTTGAGAATGGATAAAAAAAGTTCTTCTCTCTGGTGAATTAAGCAGGGAGGCGAGAGAGATGTTTTTCAGATGTGGTATCTGACCTTCACCCCTGCCGATTACCTGAGGTCTGATCAGAAAGTGCCTCTCTTGCAGTGCAGTGCTGCTCCCCAGGTACACTCTATAAGCCCTCTTTAATGGGATGAGCTGAGAGGAGCCCAGCAGAGCAAAGCACAGAGGTGGAGAGAGGATTTGGACGAGGAGAGATGACAGGGAGGGAAGAGATGAGTGAGATAAGGATGGAGTTGTGAACCAAGACGTCAGGTCTGCAGTCTGAAGTTTACTACAGAGGAGCTGTATGTATGGATACGACTTCTCCAGAGCTGACGATAAACAAAAGTCAAAATTCTCTCTACAATTACAGTCACACTTATGATCACAAAATGACTGCTATTTGTTAGTCATTAGTGGTTGTGTGTTACTTGGTTTGTCAATTGAGACAGCTNAAAAAATAAGTCTAAAGAGGCAAAACAGTGGCATAACTGTTAAAGACTTTTGAGCTCTCTTTCATTCTCCTCTGGATAATTATCAGGTATAAAGACTTGTGGAAGGGATGTTGAATCAAAGTAGGACAATCTCAACTCTGTACGTTTTATATAAGTTCCATATTGGCTTTGTTATGTGTCAGACTTGCGAGACGGAGCTTCCTCGCTTCATTTTTATTTAATATTCTGTTTTTGTTTTTCTTTTTGGAACATAAGTTTCAATTTTTTGAGGGTACTCTGACTTGATGAACTATTCTACTAATCTCACACTTATTTTGTCAATTAATTGATTACTTTTTTTGTGTGTATGAAAAATGGTGAAACAAAAACATGTCTTCAGATGTTTTATTCTGCACTAAGAGTCCAAAACCTGAAGATATTTAGCGTGTTTAGCTGCTTGACAAAGGGAAACATCGAATCCTCTCAAATGAAAAGCTGGAACCAGGGAGTGATTTTCACATAGTTGCTGAATCATTTCCTTTCAACTGCCTGATTATTTAATCACTTAATCGCTTTATCACTGCAGATCCAGTCTCTAGACACGTGTAGGTGCAAACTGATAAAAATAAATGAGGAGTTTCGGGCCAGTAATGTGTGTATTATTTTGAGAAAAAGTGCCCTAACTGCAAGTTTAGGCTGCTGACAGTTGTTTTTAGAATTTAATATTTCAGTGTGAAGAATTACTCATTTACAAGATGTTTGAAATGAAATAATCTCATACAGTAGAATCGCAAAAGTCTTGCGAGTTTACTTCAACCAACCCCAGTCGGCGCAGATGAATCACGTTGTGTGTCACATTTGCATGTGTCTTTGAAGCTTTGCTTGACCTTAAAGACGAATTGCACGAAAGATTAAAGAACGCTTTCAGACGGCTGCTTAATTCTGCGAATTTCTGTGCAGCTCCTTCTGAGACACACTCGCTAATGTGACGGGACCGCTGTGTAACATTACAGCGTTTGTGTCTGCGCTGAATGCATCTGAGGAATCGTTTCTTTCTTCATGATCCTCCCCTTTCATTTCTCTCCAGCCAATACTTCTCTTGCCAATTACCCTTTCTGCTACCCTGTACTGCACAATAATGTGAGTAATGGACTGAGCCGGGGCATTCATAAATGTCAGGCGGCTCAGTCACTGTGATGTTGAGTCTATGGGGATTAATCTAAGCCCCAGACCTCCTGCGCATGAGGGACATCTACCATGCAATTGAGGAATTAAAGACGTTACTCCAGCATGTCTCTTCTCGTGTGAACCAGTTTGGAGATTAGTCTTCATTTTAAGGTTGGCTTAATGGGAGAACAGGTTAATTGTGAGGAAATTAAAAGCCATTCAGCGCCTCTGTTCGGTCAATATTCTTCTCGTATGACACCATGCTGCTCTAATGAGGTGCTGGCTCAGATGTAGGCAGGATGAGGACGACGCATCTTATCTTCTAGAGGATAAAATGCCAGTAATCTGACAGTCTGGAGGACGGCAGGGATGATCCACAAAGCACCATTGTGACGGTGACCCTTTAAAAAGACAGAATCGGGGCCAGTGTGTAAAACGAAACTGTAGTTTATTTACACTGGAGAACATGCATCATGAGCTGTTGCATGTGGCAAAAGATTTGTATCTGCTATGTTTTGTAACGTAGCTTGCTGGCAGCCTATAGAGTTACCTGGATTCTTACTTCCAGTGGCTTACAGCTGATTAATTGTCTCCTGCTTACAATAATCTCATCAAGGCAATAAATTGACGCACAAATCACATTTGGCCATCCGGTTTTGCAGCCAAATGTAATATCCGTGTTGATTTGATTGACTGGAGTGTAGCTGATGCTGCACGGCTAACCTGCTCATCTTCAGAGTTTGGGANATCTTTAAACCACCTAATATTTCTTCTAGTAAAATCAAACTAATAAATAAATTCCCATGAAACATTCGTTCCCCTCCAATTAAAATGGTAACCAAATTTCATATTGATTTTCTGGAGGATTTAATTGTCAACAAATCCAGCCGATTCCAGCTCACCTGTGTATAGCTCCCCGCAATTAAAAGATGAGATTCATACCACCATTAATATAATATAGTAGTTATGACTTCTAGCTGTAGATATGTGCGCTCTCAGCAAGTGCACAAGTATCATCATGTGTCACTGCCTCTAGAACTATATTAGCCTCTTAGCTATAAAAATGTGTAAATGGCCGAGTCTCCTCTTTACAGCTCATGTCATTCTGCATCACAGGTACTTCATAGAAAACGAAGAGGAGAAACCTTTGTATTTCACCATCGGGGTCAACAGCGGCATCATCAGGACGACTCAGGGTCTGGACCGGGAGGAGACGGCGTGGCACAACATCACTGTGATGGCTGCAGAGGTTGGTAAGTTCACCGCGACTGCAGGCTGAACATCGGAAAGCTCTCCATCCAGCCTCCGTGGTATTTTCTTTAAGTCGGTCCGAGCATACATAGCATCCCGCTGACTGCAGTCTTCCAGCTTTAGTTTTTTCAGAGCATCTGTCTCTTGTACCCATAGGGCTTGGATGCGCTTGCTTTAGCGTCTGCCGAATTAATGCAAAGTAAAGCAAACAATGACTGAATAACTGAATGTCAATTTCAGCATTTAATCTACAAAGTTCTGTTTAAACAGCCTTCCAAACATATTAATATGGCAAAACTGGGGTTCCACTGACAGTTTTAAATATGATTAACTCTGTCAGAGAATGAAATGCACCTGCCGACTTCTGTCCTCTTTTTCCTTTAGTATATGTGCTGCATGAAAGGGACACATTGTGAAGAAACTCATCCAACTTTAATAATGTTTTATCACTGTTTCATTGGTAATCATGAACATGACATGGTCTGTACGAATCAAATCAGACAAATCGGGGGGGAGGGGGAGGTTCACAATATTAACAATGGAGAAAGGGACTTTTTTTTTACACCTAAAGAGCTGCGAGATATTTTTGTCAGATGGAAAAGACCAAAGAGCTCAAACCAGAGTGACTATTGGATTTCAATTCAACATATGGCCACAATTACAGTCCCAACGGTGCTGCTCTTTGTCTGCTGAAATCGGGTTCTGGTGTGCAAACATGTTACACGATTACAAAGGNTTATTTTTTATTACTTTCTTCAAAGTCAGAAGTTTACATACATTTCTTTACTATTTGGTAGCGTTGCCTTTAAACTGTATGACTTGGGTCAGATGCTTTGGGTTTCCTTCCACAGGCTTCTCACAATAGTTTGATGAATTCTGGCCCATTCCTCCTGACAGAACTGGTGGAACTGAGTCAGGTTTGTTGCCCCACACGCCTTTTCATCTCTGCCCACAAATTTTCTACAGGACTGAGATCAGGGCTTTGTGATGGCCACTCAAAACATTGACTTTGTTGTTCTTAAGCCACTTTGTTACTAATCTGGTGGTATGCTTTGGGTCATTGTCCATTTGAAGACCCATTTAAAGCTTTAACTTCCTGGCTGATGTCTTGAGATGCTGCTTTAATATTTCCACTTTGTCTTCCTCCCTCATGATGCCACCTATTTTGTGAAGTGCACCAGTCCCTCCTGCAGCAGAACACCTCCACAACATGATGCTGCCACCCCCGTGCTTCACAGTTGGGATGGTGTTCTCAGACTTCAAGCTTCCTCCTTTTTCCTCCAAATGTAACGATGGTCATTAAGGCCAAACAGTTCAATTTTAGTTTCATCAGACCACAGGACATGTCTCCAAGAATGAAGGTCTTTGTCCCTGTGTGCATTTTCAAACTGTAATCTGGCTTTTTTATGTTGCTTTTGTCTTCTTCCTCTCTGAGTATCCTTTCAGCCCATGTCAGTCCAGGACTCGTTTCACTGTAGATAAAGACTCTCTCTTACCAGCTTCAGCAGCATCTTCACAAGGTCTTTTGCTTTTGTTCTGGGGTTGATACGCACTTGTCTCACCGAAACATTTCATCTCTGGGACACAGAACCTGTCTCCTTCCTGAGCAGTATGATGGCTGGACATTCCCATGGTGGTTATACTTGTGCATAATTGTTTGAACAGATGAACCTTCAGGCATCTGGAAATTGTACCCAAGAATGAACCAGACTTGTGGAGGTCCATTATTCTCTTCCTGATATCTTGGCTGATTTCTGTAGATGTTCCATGTTGTCACAAAAGGAAGCAGTGTGTTTGAGGTGTGCATTAAAATACATCCTCAGATGTGCCTCCAATTAACTCAAATGTTGGCAATAAACCAATCAAAAGCTTCCAAAGCCATGACATCATCATCTGGGCTTTCCCAAATAGTTTGAAGGCACAGTAATCTTATTGTGCGTAAACTTCTGACTTTGAAGTAATAAAATATTCTCTAAAAAATTCTCTCTGTCATTATTCTGGCATTTAGCAAATAGAAATAATTTTGGTAATCCTAACTGACCTAAAACAGGAAAAATTTAGTCTGATAATATGTCAGACAGAGAGAAAAAAGTTCTGGTTTCAACTGTAGTATCTTTAAACTTACAATAATTTATTTTAAATGTTTATTTTTGTATTATTTAGGCCACTGAATAGACATTATGGCCTTGTACTTTAGCTATGGCATAACTCATTAGCAAATCATTGCACATTTACGTATCCAGTAGAAACATTAGCATTTATTCGAAGTTTGTTGTTGCATCCACCTAATGAACATCAGGCCAATATTAGTCTGACTCACTCAGTGTAGAAAAGCACATTTCACATGGCTTTCTTCTCCTTTTCCTACGTCTGCATGCTACTGTTTTCAAAATTCCCTTTTACTACAGAAAATACCAACAACAACCTCCTGAGAAACCTCATGACACAGATCGCCTGAATGTTCCACAGAGAANTTTAATAACATAAATTCAATACACTTCTTACTGGTCATGTGTTGATATTGCTGTCACTAAGAAGTAAGAATGACTTCCTGTTTGATATTATACATGTGGTTGGAGGTCATTAAGCATAACAGCATCGTTGTCATGGTAACCCTTTACTAGCTACACCCCACAGTGCTCTTTGATTGTCAACATGGAACTTCCCGCCTCGCAGCTCACTGCATATTAAACAGTAAGACGTACTAACAATTGTCTTGGAAAATGGTTTCTCTTCTGTAATAGCTAGTGTTACTATATAATAATTACTCATAGAGGTTTGTTTTTTCTAATGAAAATAATTATGTTGTGTCCAAAAATGGTGGGATTTTGAAGATTTTGGTATCTGAGGTTCTGGTTTCACTTCGACTCTGGAGATTAGTTTTTTTTTTAAGTATATTTAAGTATTTTTATGTATCCACTGACAGCATTTGGTTTAGGCTTAGGGAACGATCATGGTCCAGAGTGACTTTAATCATGAGACAAAAGGTTTATTATAACACTGAGCTACTTTCTCGAACTGAATTCTAACCACATATAATGAAAAAGTTTTCCAGGCTTCTTCCCTGAGGTATCTGGGTGCTCGACACAGTTTATCACGCTGATTGGTGTTCTTCTCACTCGGTCCCATAGAGAATGACACAAACAGGAAATTAGATAATCAAATGCCTTTATTGTCATTGCATGCACACATGCAACGAAATGTAATGTCGCTCGTAAAATAAACATTTTCCATTCACTTCGCTCGATCACACACAAACATACACATTAGAAACAAACAAGGTGAATGTGATGAAAGTGCCGTTAAAAGGACGGAGTCAAGTACTTGTGCAATAATTGCACATCAGTCTGTTAATAAGATAATCATCTGGCTCTCCAAGTCTTTCCAAATGTTATTGGTCCCAATGGGTGATATTCAGTAAATGAAAAGAGCGACTGGTGATGCTCAGAAAATGTATTCTGCATTTTACAGTCGCTTCATTTCCAAAGAGTGAAGCATTTTGAGCAAATGTGTGCAACGCGGTGAGTTGTGTCGATATGTTTGTCCACTGAAATCGACCCGTGGCCTGGCGCCCCTGGTAGTTTGGGCTAAACACATTGAGCCATAGATTTTTCAGCTAGCTATGTAGCTGAAGTTAACTTTTATCATTAAAATGGCACCGACTAGTACATGCAATGTCTCCATATACTGCTCTGCATCCTGCAAACTCACAGTCACGAGGCTTCATTATGTTGCCAGTCTTCATCAAGGACCACAGCAGCAACCAAACAGCAAATTTTACCCCCGAGGCTCAAAAAACAAATTTATCAATTAATCAGGTTAATCAATTATCTAATGTCTGCATCAGTTCTTTTATTTGACTTTGGGCTGCAGGCTCTCTGGGCTGCAATTCAGGTCCACCTCTATTTAGAAATTCAACAGGCATGCCTACAGCCTCCAGAGGTTATAATAGAATTAAATCTGTGCTCGCAGAATTCAATTATCCTAAAGTAAAGAGTTTCCAAGTATCAAATCATTTGATATTAAAGGCCTGTGGCAGAGTCGCGGTCAAACGTATTACTCAGCTGTGTGTGTCATCCCCGTCTGAATGTGACAGACGAATAAACAAACAAATGGATGTTACGGCCTCCATCTGCTTCCAGCCATGATTAGATATGCAGGAGCATAAGAGAAGCGACAGATAAGATGTTGATGCCGAGGTCAATTCAGTGGTAAGAAATGACAGCTATTGTTTTTATTTAAATAATCATGAGGGTTTTAGCATATTTATTTGTCATCTGCCTTCCTGATATCTATTGTCCATTTGAGCGTCCCATTACGCCTTCGTCCTGACAGCTGCTGGATGTTCAGTTATTCTGAGGAAGGTCTCGCAAAGAAAGAAACGAGCGGCACCGCAAGTTTGCTGTCGGATTAGTTCTGCGTTTATGGCCTTTGTGGCTAATCTGTCCTGAAGGCAGGTTAATCCAGATTATGATGTGTTACGATAAGTTAACAATTGAGACGTCGCACAGAGATTACAC